GGCTTCTTTTTCTTAACATATAAATATTACCTTTTAGTTTACTAATTATCATTTGTGCTTGATAACGACAAGTGGATACTTATCGAAACGTCGGTCGGGCTATATGTGTACAAACCAGTAAATGTTTTTCCATATAAATTGTGTTGTGTTTTGTTTTTTGGTTTCAATAATTCGTTTGCGCTTAGGGGTCTTTATCAGTGGGAGAAAATCGGGGGACCCTGGAAAAACCCATGAGGTTGGACAGATAAAAAACAAATTCCAAGTAATATAGGACCCAATGAACTGAAAATAATTCCCCGGGAAAACTTCTCTGGTCATTTGTTGTATACGTGAGAGTTGCACGTTGACATTAAATAAATTGATTTTTTAACTGAACAGAGAATCAAAGCCTTAATAAATACAGCGGGCCGCTTTATTATGTATAATAGCTATTTTATTATCAAAATAAATCTACACGACAGAAATAAAAAATAGCCCTTTCATAATATTTTTATATTAAATTCAGATCACTGGCAACTTGCCCAGTATAACATCGTGGTGGGCGTGTGGTTAAAGCTACATCTTGTCGTGGCCATGGAAAACAGTAGTGCTAAAAGCTACATGTCGTGGCCACCTGTCGCGGAAATCCGTGGCTGTTAAACCTACTCGAAATTCGTACTTCGCCTGGAAAAAATGTCAATAATGGAAACGAAGTTGTAGGCCTATGACTTGTCGGAGCAGAGCAGTAGGACGCTAAAACCCATTTCATTTTAATTATAATGACTGTGACGTTGTATTTTGTATTATTTTAAATTGCTTGAATTATCTCGCAAGAGTTGTTTCTAGCACCAGATAAAATATATTTTCCAAGTGAAATGTGAAACCCTATTTTCGTGTAACAAAAAAATGAAATGAAATGAAATGGAGTTTAACGTCCTACTGTTCTGCTCCTAACCTTGGCTAATGAAGACGGGCATACGCCATACAGTGTGCTATGAGGGAAATTTTGCCCGGACAGCGGCACTACGGCCTAACTCTTATATCGAATTCCAACTGTCAAGGGATCTTTTACGTGCACGCCAATGTGTACACGGGACCTCGGTTTTTCGTCCCATCCGAACGACTAGACAGCTTTCCTTGTCAGCCCCTCCGTCCTGCATCACTGACAAGGGAGAACCACGCCGGAAAATCTGGATGAACTTTCTCGGCCAATGCAGGGATCGAACACCCGACCTCCAGGCTAGCGAGCTAGCGTCTTACCCACTTAGCCACGTGATCCCCTTCGTGTAACAACAAATTATTGCTCTTTGGCAAATCGTAAGCCATTGTTAAAGAGACAAAAGAAACTATAAATGACATAATTGGGAAAAGCACAGCAAAATTGTATTAACCTCGACAACTCATCAAATGAGAAGTGATATCGGGTATTCTTGAAAGATCATTGTACCCTGCATCGTGCACTTTAAACTGGATAGATGATTAAATTATTGGGGATTCTCTAGAAATATTACTAGTTTTATTGTTTAGTGGGTCGTTTGAAAATACAAGGTTGACCCAGCCTTCCATAAATATGTTATTTTCTTTTTGTGTTCGTGCGTGAAAGAACCATACCCTAATCACGTGGCGGATCTATTGAAATGTATAAAGATTAGTCATGTGTTCGGTGTGGTTTCGTGTATTTATGTACAGCATTACCATACATGGAAGTCGTCTTTATATAGCTGCATAGATATTATTTTTTTCTTTTATGTCCTTGAAAGCAGAATTCATATCTATTTCAGTGGTCGTTAGTCATAAGTAGGACAGGATCTGTTACCATTGGCAAGTCAATTGTTTACGTTGAATCATATCAATTATGAAGTACAAAGAAAGACGTTAGGTAAAATTATCTTTAAACCTTGATTTTTGGGAATAAAGTGTTAACAGGGTAAATGACGAATCGTCATACGCCCTGATGTAATGTGTGAGTATATTATATTCACCCCAGTAGGCCCTATTTTGTATACAGGCCGTACCTGTTCAATGAATGAGATACAAATGTATTGAAAGCGTAGTGACAGCTCGACGACAGAAACTTGGGTGAACTGGGAGCACACATAGAGCAGTAGGGGTGCAATGCGAAACACTGGTGATCAAACCGGCAACTGTATGGGTCATTCCATGTCAAGTGGACCAAATGTCTGAAAGTTGGGAACATGACCCCCTCCAAAAAAATTATAAAAAATATATGTTGTAGTACATCATGGACTTAAGTTAACAAATCCAAAATTATACCTCTCTAGACCGACCATTCGATGAGATATGGCCATTTGAAATTAGGGTACTGAAACGGATCATAAATTCAGTAATTTTTTTTTCAGGTTTTCGGGTACTTTAAACTCACATTTCTAATAGGAGTAGAACTCTCTAACTTTGTAATCTAAGACAACTTCTGGTGTAGATTATGAATTTAGCATCACACGCAATGTACGATTCACACAGTTCGTGTCAGCAGGTGGCAAAATGTGGAACAAATAAACTATTCACTTTTTTCCAGCATTTCAACAGCCACTGGCAAAGTCACTATTGCATAGACAACCTCCAAAATTGACACAGTTAATGTCAGTTTGTCTTTTATCCATTTACAAAAGATTCTGTGTCGATGGGATATATACTTTTCCCAAATATTCAGTCTCGAAATTCAATGCACACTGAAAACGTACAAAATATACCCATTTTCACCTTCAATTTTGGTCATGTGGGACAGAGGTTAAAATTCGGAAAAGTTTTGGCTTTGATAATCAGATTAAAATTACTTCTGAAAGACTTAGGCCCCTCATATTTGTCATTTTAGAGCAACTTATAATTTAGAATAAGAATATAGACTCATTTTGGTTACAGGGAGTATCGTTTCAATTTAATTTACTTTCAAAAAGTACAGATGTGTTACAGATAGTGTGACTGTTAGACAGTGAGAGAGAGAGAAATGGGGTTTAACGTCCACGCGAACATATGGTTCAATTTTATTTCAATAACTCGTGTGCGTTTAAGGGTTCTTTAGCAGTGGGAGAAAATCGGGGGAACCGGAGAAAACCCACGAGATTGCAGAACAGGCGACACTTCAAGCAGATGGATAAATACATTTTGATAGTCCCCTGCTTTCTTCAAATGACGGGGAAAAAAAACTAAAAGAAACTTTATTATTGAAACTCTACCAAAACGTTTGCATATATTACGACTTAAATAGCGTCTTTATTTTTTTTTATTCTATTATCATTTATAAAGGTAATATTTCGTGAAAGGAATTCAGTGAAATTAAAAACCAATTAGCTTTCTTTACCTTTTTATTCACTAAAATCTGTCTAAAGCTTTTTTGTTGTATACCTCATGTCACGTGATTAGTATTACCTTCAATATAGAAAACTTTCTCATGCCATAAACTACTATTATGTCAATCAAATTCTATAGAACCTGTAAAGGGTATTGTGCATTATAACATGAATATCTTTATAAATGTTATGTTTATTCAGTAATATTGTAAAACAGGATTTGGGCAGAAAGCCAAACCTGAGTGAGTCCCAAGCTCTACATTTATGATTTCCAAGCCAGAGGTCCGCGGGTCGAGAAATTATTTGGGGATCTGGGAAAAAAAGATAGCCAATTCACGTTGAATTTGAAATTGTCAGTATTCGGACAATAAATTTCATTAGCTGATAGCCAAGTAATGTTGCGTACAAAATTAGCCGATTTAGCTAGCCACATTGGTGATAAGCTATCTTACCTACACTCAGTACTTTCTTTAGATGAAATAGAAGTGTAGGGGGAAAGACAAAAACAAATTTAATTTTCTTTACTATTTGGTATATATATATATCTGTCTCTTTAGGGGAAGGGGGCAGGTGTTCACATTGGACGCGAACTGTCGATCTCGCGCTCCATCCTTCCCCTTAATCCCACACTAGGTGCGTATGTTCTTGCTCTTCCCGGTCCTCCGCAACCGATCTATCCAACTGCGAATTTTATTTCCACAAAAAATGTCAGAAATTGCCGAACATAAATCGCTCGGCCTAAGCGGGTGTTATTCATGTTTGCTTCTTATTTCCTTCGCATGAATTAGTTCTGTACCGGTTTCAATCGCGATCACATAATATTTTAATCTGTTATCATTCTCGTCTGTAAGAATCGGCTATTACACTATTTCAATCATTGCTCAACCTACAAAAGCATTCACTGAGCAATCAAATGAAGGGGCGTGAGAAGCAAAATGATCAGGTGGCGGGGGGGGGGGGGCTGTTCCGGCGTGACTGACCGCGGGGAGTCGAGGGGGATATGCGGGGTTCTCTCCCTGAAAATTTAGAAAGTCGATTTCCTTGCACCCGAGGCCATTTCTGAAAGGCCATTTACTCCTTTAAACGTATAGGCTCTCTCCTGTATAATAAGCTCATGAGCTTGGTGGGGTTGGGTACGGTCTACAAGATACCCCCCCCCCCACACACACACACACACACATACAAACACCTCCCGTCCCTCTCTTACATACATAAACTATAAACACCTGACATCGGTCTCAATTATCTATTATTAACTTAGTTCTACTAATAGGTATGTATACCTGTTGTTAAAACTCCATTATTCACATAAATCAGTAATAAAAATATGGAAAAGATTAAAATAAAATCTTATAAATGTCTTATTTTTTTTTTTTTTTTAAAAAAACAGGTGTGCTTGAAAACGATACTAGAACTCATGTTGAAACGTTGTGATGTGTATATATATAACCCAGTGATTGTTTTCCAGATAAATTCTGTTTATTGCGCTCTATCGCTAAATGCCATTAGCGGAATTCGTGTATTATCGTTATCTTACTCTACTGCACATCTCGTGTACAGGATCCGCCCCTCAAGACCCTGACACCTTTACAAATACATTGATATAAAGATAGATATATAAAAGCTGATATGTTTAGTCACGTGGTATAACTTGTATAAAGACAGCGATATAAAGGTATATATAAAACCACATTTATTTAGTCGTGTGTTATAAGTGTGGACATCAAAATACATAGTGTGTATGTTTATCCTGTACACATTATACTGAATTCTAGTGGCTGTTTTACTTCTGTAATCTGAACTGTTTTATAAAAAAAACGTATAAATATACTCTGTGAATATTGCTGTAATTTTAACATAAACTGGAGATTATATGATAACTCAATAACCACAATGTGTGAATATAAGTGCTGTAGTTTTTACATGGACTGTGTCTAACTGTGTTGTACATATCTATAAATATGGCGGAAAGAGTCGATGATACACATAGCTGTAGTATCTGTTTAGAGGATTTTACTAACCCGAAAATACTACCATGTTTTCACACGTTTTGTGAACATTGTATAGACGACCATATCAAAGCTCTTTCACATCTCAACAAGTTTAATTGTCCTAATTGTAGAACAGAGATTCAAGTACCTGATGGGGGTGCAAGTGGGTTTTCAACAAACTTTTACATCCAACCAAAAGGTGAAACACAAAATCATTTCTGTCGGAAACACAAGACAAAAGAAATAGATATTTATTGCCGAGATTGTTCTGTTGCTGTTTGTGATAGGTGTGTTATATTGGATCATACAACTCACTCAAAAACAGATCTTACTAATGTAGACCAAGAAATCAGAGGAAAGTTAAACATTATAAAGCGGGAGTTAGAAGAGAAGGTTGACGAAGTCGCGAAACATTGTGAATCTTTAACCAATCAAATATCTGATATCAAGAACCAAGCTAAATTAGCCTGTGATAATGTCGATACACGGGTTAAAAAGGTATGTGACAAAGTCAAAAAACATGGCGATGATATAAAATGTGAAATGAATAAAATTCGTGATGAAGAAAGTAACAAGTTACAGACATTACATGAAAATTCGACCCAATTCAAAAGTTCTCTACAGAACAGTTTGAAATATATTAATGGCGTGCTGAATGGTAAATCTACTGTTCCAGTTGTAGATGCTTTAACCAATGTACAAACACTGACTGAAGATAGCAGATCAACCAGTTTAGATATACCTCCAGTAAGATATGTCTATTATCGTATGGTAGATATAGATGTTAAAACTTTAGAATCTTTACTTGGTGAATTAGAAACAATGGAGTCACCAACCTGGACATCTAGTTTTAGTTTGTATCGGGTGAAGACATATGAGTACTACTCTGGTGATGATATAATGATACAAGGAATGCCATGGTATGTAGATGTTAGACGTCTTTCAGATACACCAACAGTAGGGTGTTACCTGCGTCTGAGAGGAGTAGATGATAAAACAGTTAAATCTGTTACAGCTAGTTATACACTAAAACTATTAAATATAAACGATGTGAGTAAATCTACAGTTGCACGACATACAGCTACATTTATACCTGGTGGTATTGGATGGGGTAGTACGTTTATAGAGTGGAATAAACTAAAGGATGTGACGAATGGATTTATAGAAAACAACGAAAAATTTACTGTGCAGGCGTCTGTAAAAATAGACAACATAGAAAGATACTGACATTTATATTACAGAACATAGTACGATAGATGGGTGTCATCATAATACAAGGATATATCTCTATTGTTAGTTCAATACAAGGACATATCTCTATTGATGGGTGTCATAATAATACAAGGATATATCTCCTCTATAAAATATGTTAGCTCAACCCAAAACAAATGGAACTTGTTTATTTGGATGTCAAATGAAATATATTTTAATATTTAGCTTATTGCTGACTGGTCCCTGGATCCATTCACTTGATTTGATATTTGTTGTTTATTTCTTGTAATGTCTGTAGTTTATCACGTCCCCAGGTTTGTTTTGTGTGTAGTGTGGTCCTCCTGCACTTACTAACAGAATAAGGTATGCGTCAGAGGTCTGTTGTGCAAAGTTCGTGTGTGAAATTTTATTCAGACAAAATAAACAAACCAGCACCACCTATAACTGTTGGATAAAATCTCTTGATGGGCCTGTTTTTAACCTGACTGAATCCTAGCTTGAATATTATCAAACATAGATATTTGATTCTTAATCAATCAACGATTTTATTTTTATGGTCTTACCTATTTTATTCTGAAGATCATTGAGAACATCTGTAGTGGTATAAGCCAATTCTGGTGTAATATACAACAACCTGAACTGACCCTGATAAACATTGATATCACGTTAACCAGACATATAGAAGTGATTTTCTAGCGCGTTTTCTCCTTGTCGGTGGTGCAGGACGGAGGCCTGACAAGGAACAGTGTTGATTCGTTCAGATTGGACGGAAAAGCGTAATCCTGTGTACATGTTAGTGTGCACGTTAAAGAATTTGAAATAAGTTTATGCATAAAAGTGTATATTTATTACAAGGGAAATGTTTAAAGTAGCTAAATTAAGTCTCTTAACACAATATCATCCAAAATCTTCGACATTCTGATGTCCAATATTTAAGACAAAATAAAAATTTTACAATTGGTACACGAATCGTGTACCATAATGCGATTCAGCGCTACTTGTAATAATGGACTCGAAAAACGAGGCTATGCATATTCCACAAGTGATGTCAAACGGTGACGCTATATTCTTATCTGGAGAGCATGCCCAATAAAATACTATCGGCGTAGACTGGAATAACTAGACGCTAGAGATTGAAATTCGATTGAGAATACTGGCGTATTTCGCCGAACCTAACTGATTAGAAATAACAGTAAAAACAGAAACGATTGAATGTAAATCAATTTATATACATTCATATTACATAATTGTATGCGTTGCGACCCATTTGTGTCAATTTCCAGGTCCCAAATATTGGTGACTTAGCTCCTTTAAGTTAAGCATATGTATAATTTTTTACTCTTTTTAAGTAAAAGTGAAAAGATGTGTTGTATATTTGTCTGAAGAAAGTATTATTGTCATAATAATGTTAAATTATTATTTGTGTTTATATTATTATTATTATGTCACGGTAAACGTTTTATTTATCTGAACCGGGTAAATTCTCTTCACGGCGAATGAGGAAGGGCGCTAACTCTGTTTATCGGAAGGCGTTTCACATCAGTGCATTGCGGTTGGAAAACAAGGCTAAATCTATTTGTTAAGGTCAGCTCAATTATCGTCAAGGTCGCTGAGATGTAAATAAGGTTAGGGCATGTGATTGTTGGCGAGGTTGTATTTTAGGGTTAGTGTAACATTGGGGCTATGTCCAGCATTAGGGTTAGAGTTGGGATTAGCGCTAGCATTGTTTACATCTCGTGACCTTTGACCAAACTTGAAGTTGGGCTTATCAAATAGATCTAACCAGGAAAACATAGTTCAGTTGGTAATTGTAAGGTGGCATTTTCCAATTTCCCATCAACCCTCACCTGTTACTTCATGTACATTCGCTTCAACCTTTATAATCATTTTCACCATAAAACTCTTTATTATAGTTTAGAACGATAGCATATTATTATATTATTATATTTCGTATGTGTAATAATTTTGAAATATACTATATTATTATTTTATCTTCAGTTTATTTAATCGTTTTAAACTAGAGTAAATTATTATTTTAAACTAGAGTAATTATTATTTTCATCTTTACTTGATGTGGTGTGTTATCTTTATGGCGGTGTATACTGTACCTGATCTTTATGGCGGTGTAAACTGTACCCCATCTTTATCAGTAAAATATTTATTTAGTTAATCAGTATTAAAATTCCTACAAGTCATTCTCAATACGGTATTCTTGTATTCTGGTCTAATTTTATTGATAATAAATGGCCTGGGTTTACAAGTTGTTGTCGGAAAAGGGGGTTACCTCCATAACGAAATGTTGCGGAAACCTGAAAATCAATAACGTCTATCCTCGCCAATGTTTCCCGCCTTATTTGAAAAAACTAAAGCCACTATCGTGTTCACAAGGTTTATGGAAAAGGGGAGGGGAGTAACTACAGAACGGAATGTCACGGTAAACTGAATATCGATAGAGGTCATTTCGGGACTAACACAGAGAGAGGGGTCTATAGCGGTGGGACGAAACGGAATGGCCCGGAGAAAGTCCACGAGGTTGGACAGGCGACCATGCTCCTTATCAAACGTTCAAGCAGGGAATCGAAACCATGCCACTTGACTGGATGACAGACCTTTTGATCTCACTAGACCCCCCCCCCCCACTTTGACATTTTGATGGAAGTGGCGGTCGCGAAATCTCTGCCGTTATTGGCCGCTAAAGTTCATCGGGATTTTCCGGAGAGCCTGACAAGGACAACTGCCTAGTCATTCGGATGGGACGAAATACTGATGACCCGTGCACACATTGACGTGCACGTAAAAGATCCCTTAGCAGTTGGAATTCGACATAAGAGTAGACCTTTGCGCCGCTATCTGGGGAACATGTCCCTCACAGCACACTGTATGGCGTATGCCCGTCCTCATAAGCCTAGCCCAGTCGGAGTAGAACAGTAGACCGTTAAACCCCATTTCTAGTGGTTTAATTCATAAGGTCTATCATACAGTCAAGTGGCGTGGTTTCGATTCTCCGCTTGTACATGACAAGTGTGGGGGTCAGGCCGAGATATCTGCTTGATTTGAGTTAAAAAATAAATTTGGAGATTTCAGTTGATTTTATGTTCATCGGTCTTCTTGTCAATCTGATCTAATACAGATCTATATTTCATTTCATTTTTTACTCTTTAGATGACTTTAGACCTAACGCGCGAATGTCTGCCCACAGTTCCGTGCACCACAAACCAAGAACTCGCCACAACAGGCCGTTTCATTGGCTAATCCCTCACATTAACCAGAACGCGGGTTATATAGCTACTCTCTCAGGTCCCAATGTAGTGAAGGCAAGTAAAACGAAATATTGAATTATAAAAAAACGAAACGAAGTAGGATCTGTGTTTTAATCAGAATTTAATCAAAATATTACGCCTAGAGATAAACGTCAGTGTTGAGTTTTGAGCGATTTTTTCTCCGCGGTTAACACAATTACGACAAATTTTAAAGTAGCTAAGTCTCTAACCCAATATCATTCAAATTCTTCGACATAGAAGACGCAAATTATTTGTCTATTTAAATCAACATTGATGTTGTGATCTTACCGGAAAAAGGTGGGCTTCTGATATCCAATATTTAAGACAAAATAAACATGTTACCATTGGTACACGAATCGTGTACCATAATGCGTCTCAACGTTATTTGTAACAAGGGGCTCGAAGAACGAGGATAGACATATTCCATAAGTCATGTTAAACAGTGACGCTATATTCTTATCTGGGGAGCATAAGTTATAAGATACGGTCTTCGATATTGGAGTTTTCAAGGGGAAGTAACACGTACACAAAATTCCATTCTAGTTTCAATTCAATCGAGAAAATGATACTTTAAGACTGTCGTTGAATGTATTTAATTTATAGAAATAAAAATACTTTTTTTTTTTACAAATATTAAACTTTTTCCCACCTCCAACTTTTCCACAAATTTTTGTTGGGCTGAATGCTTTTTACTACAGACAGAGGAACAAATGGTCATGTCTTTGCACTAAAGTTTTTATGAGGTTGATCGCCCAAATTTTGAGATACACAAACTTGAAGAAGAAGCAAACTAATTAATTAGTAATTAGTTGCCCTACATATCACCGTAGCCAAGCTAATAACTCCGTTAACCTTTCGTCTCAAAATCATTAATATTTACCAAAACCTGGCAGAAAATGTTAATTCAAATCCGCTTCGTCAACAAAAATGTGCATGCAAGAGGGGTGAAAAGAGACACAGAGAGAATTGCTATAAATAGACGTACTACAATTTAATGGTGGTCTGCATCCTTCTACTTAAACTGGAGTTGCTCCCCTTAAGCTAAGGACAGCAAGGCGACGCCGTTTGAAATTTATCGCCTTCTAATTTACGGATCAGATATTCGCCACCGTTTCAGCTTTTATTGAAGCTTGACACTGTAACCAGTCGGCCTCGTTGATAGCTATCTTGTGATTTTGGGGAAATCAGATTTTTACAGGGAAACATACATTATAATATATGTTTTGGTGAAATAAAGAATGTGCTCGAAATCTTGTACAATTTTTAACTGAATACGGCGAATTTATACTGTGTTTACTTTGAATTTAAACATTTTGTGAGAGACTCTGTTTAGCGACATTTTTTGGCATCAATCATTATTTGTTTTATCGTCTTTTTGGGAATCTACATTTCTTTAAATAGACTAATGGATTAAACTTTAGAACAATTTAATCAGTTTAATAAACGGTGCCATTTTTATTTTCAGGAATCACCATCATTTATCATCATTATTTGTTGCAGCTATTTTCCATCCGAACGACCAAACAGCTATCCTTGTATGCACCAATGGCAAAGGGAAACCACGCCAGAAAAAACAGATGAACTTTCTCGGCCAACCCTTGGATCGAACATGGGACCTCCAGGGTAGCGACCCAACGTCATACTCAATGACATCCCGTGGCTACTCCCATATTAGGTACGCTATATAATGTATTTTGGGCCCCATTATGGTATACTGTGAATATCAGCATAAAACATAATCTAAGACAGACAGGTATAAGAAATATTTTGTTATTAACTAATTACGCTTGTCTGGAATCCGTGTCCAACAGGAATATAAAAAGTTTTACATTTAATCTCCGCACCAGTTTGTATCCAACCATGGAATCGATTCAGGAATAACTTTACCACAAATGTTTTATATTACCTTGAAGAAGAAGAGGGTACCTCTTCGACATGAAATGAAATGAAATGGGGTTTAACGTCCTACTGTTCTGCTCCTATACTGGGCTAATGAAGACGGGCATACGCCATACAGTGTGCTATGGGGGAATTTTGCCCGGACAGTGGCACTATCGCCTACTCTTATATCGAATTCCAACTGACAGAGGATCTTTTACGTGCATTCCAATGTATACACGGGACCTCGGTTTTTCGTATCATCCGAAGGACTAGACAGCTGTCCTTGTCAGGCCCTCCGTCCTGCATCACTGACAAGGGGGAACCACGCCGGAAAATCTGGATGAACTTTCTCGGCCAATGCAGGGATCGAACACCCGACCTCCAGGCTAGCGAGCCAGCGTCTTACCCACTTAGCCACGTGATCCCCCGTACCTTTTGTCTAACAATATCTGACGATGAAAACAGTGTTAATGTCTCTTTTGTTTATCTACTAACACATAATCTGTTATATTCGACAGCTGTCTTTCTTCTGGAGGTCGGGTGTTCGATCCCTGCATTGGCCGAGGAAGTTCATCCAGATTTTCCGGCGTGGTTCTCCCTTGTCAGTGATGCAGGACGGAGGGGCTGACAAGGAAAGCTGTCTAGTCGTTCGGATGGGACGAAAAACCGAGGTCCGGTGTACACATTGGCGTGCACGTAAAAGATCCCTTGACAGTTGGAATTCGATATAAGAGTAGGCCGTAGTGCCGCTGTCCGG